GGGCGGGCGGGGGTGTGCGAAGGCAGGAGGAGGGGCTGAGGAGGGGGTGAGGACAGTTGGGCGGGCGGGGGTGTGCGAAGGCAGGAGGAGGGGCTGAGGAGTGGGTGAGGACAGTTGGGCGGGCGGGGGTGTGCGAAGGCAGGAGGAGGGGCTGAGGTTGAGGCGGATGGTGAGGGGAGAGGGCCGCAGGTTGAGGAGGAGCTGATCTGTCACAGCATCACTTTGCAATCTAGGGAGGGGAGGCTGCCTATGGGCAACCTGCTGTTCTAGGCACGATGCAGATGAAGCCAGGGACGCTTCCACCTTCTGAGCTCTCCTTCCTCGGGCTCTTTGCTCCCTGTAATGACAGGTTTAAAAAAAAATGTCAGGCAAAAGTGTGGGGTCTTTGCTATTGGCAGACATCTGGTACTGGTGGGAGTGGGGAGGAGGCTCTACTCTTTCCCATCCCCATGTGGTGTAGTTGATGACTGCACATTTTGGGGTGGGAGAATGAATTCCTCACCTGATTGGTTATGTTCCCCACTGTGCTCCAATAATTACTGCTCTGTTCAGCCAGGACATTAGCTTGGGTGTTGCTACTATAATGACCAGCAGTGGAAAAAGTTAAGTGTTGATGTTCTAAATGGTTGTTATTAGGAGACAGCAGGTGGCTGAGGTAATATTGTTTATTGGACCAGCTTTCAAGCTGGTTCCCCAGACCTGAAAAAGACCTCTGTCTAAATGTTGAAGCTTGTCCGTTTCACCAACAGAAGTTGGTCCAATAAAAGATATTACCTCACCCACCTTGTGTTTCCTATCTGGGAACCAACCTATCTACAACAACACTGCAGACGATCAAGATAACAGATGGTTCACACCTCACAGTTGTTGGAGACTGCACAGGCAGGCAGGATGAACTGTGATTTACATGGGAAATATTTATTCCCACACAGAGGCTGGAAATGTAACAGCTTTTTAAAGGCAAGCCTATAAGCTGAAACACAATTCTCCAGCCAATTATAAAGTTCAGAGAGCCAGAGTATAGTTCATCTATATCCTGTTGTGTGTGGATCTGCCATGACTCCTTGACAGGTGCCAGAGCCTTTCAGTGAAACTTGAGTATGCTCATGCCCCATATTTCATGCATCATAGCTGAATCCACCATTGTTTTCTGTTTGTGAAGATAGCAGTCAGGAGAAACTTTTCATGCAATAGCATTTAATATGATCATGCTCCAATGAAGGACAAAACAAAGATAATGATTTAACAGGACTTTCCTTTAGTCATGATTGTGAGAAACACATGCTTCCTTGGCTAGTTGTATCCTATGTGAGTCATGATATGCCATAGACACAGGTCAACTGTAACCAACAAATATCACTTGTGACTTAAAATGCAGTCGGAGAATGTAGAAGATAATGTGATTTGAAAACAAAACTATTTCAACATCAGTGGTTATCAAATGAGCGATAGATTTCTGTATATAGTACGTTAGCTGAAGTACTATACCCTGAAAACACATACAGACTTTATAATTCTATTTTAGGGATATTGTGGAGTCATTGACTAGCCATTGACTTTTGTGATTTATAGTGTTCCTCAAAACTTGTTGACCTCAAGTCAACTGTCCTCCTTGCTTCCTACCCCAATCCTTTCCCTTCAGTGTTTCTTCTCCCTTACTTTCTATTTAGTAATTCTTATTTACCAATCCCTGTGATTTTTATTTAAGTTAAACCAAAACAATCATGGCATTAACATGATGTTTGACAACCATCACGTTATTCACGCTGCTTATATGCTATATCCCTTTTCTCTCAACCTTTTGTCTGGCTTGTCTATTGACGTTGCAAGCTCTTCAGGGCAGGGATTGTCTCTTATTCTGGATCCCGCTCTTGATTGGTTTCCAGGGACAATTGGAGTACATTATTCCTTACATATCCCTATTATCGTACAGCTGTCTCTTATTCCCTCTCTTAGCTTTGTGCCCTTTGCCATGGTGTCTTACTATGGCTGAAAAAATATCTCTGTTGTCCTTTGGCATCTTTTCGCGCTTTCAAATTAACTTCTTAAAACCCATCTCTTAAAGCAACCCTCTCCCATTTTGTAATGACCGACACTCTCTCCCCTTTTCCTGACTTGGTATCCTACGTTGGTTTAATCTGTTTTAGATTGAGGTCTTGAGCAAGTGACATGTCTTATCAATGTTTGGTAAAGTGCCGTGTAAATTAATGGTGCTGTATAACTATGATATATGGTCAGGGAAAGCACAAACACTATCATGTTGCAAAGGTACAATTTCATAGTGCTTGTCCCAGAGGAGTTCTAAATTTATTTCACACTAACAGCCTCACTGTATTGTATAAATTGGTGCACGAGAGATCCATTCATTTAACATCTCGGACAGTAATTCAGTTTGGTCCTGAGTACATTAGTAAATATGTTGAAATAATTTTATGTATTGGTTTAGATAGAGATTAAACTCAGAGTTGTATAAAATATTCACAGGGTGATTTCCAAAGAAATTTTATGAGGTTTCAGATCATAAATGTCTATCAAGTAGAATTCAAAGTATATTCTGCAAATGAAGGAGAAATGTCTAGCCTGAAGTATCAGATTTATTCTTAATATGTAAAGTGCAGGCTTTGAGAACTGATAGCGGTCCCTGCATCAGCCTGATTGAGATTTGGCTGAGGAACACTGCAAGGTTCTAAAAGCTGCAGGTCAGCTGTCACAAGTGCGGTGGAAAGATATTCTCCAAAATACATGGATGTCTGTGTAAAAAACATAGTGCTACCACAATTTTTATAGTTCATTATGGATAATGTCTTATCTTCCAATTCCAATTTTAGATTCTGCCTCAGAGGAAATATGGTCTAGTTATGGTAGTCAGGAGACTTGGGTTATATTCTTCAGTCTGTCACTAGCTTGCTACATAACCTTGGAAAGTCACTTTATTTATCTATAACTTAATTTCCACATATATAAAATGGGAATATTCCCTACCTTTGGAAAGTACTTTGAGATCTTCAGCTAAAAGGTACTGTATATATATGCTGGGTGCTACAGTCTAACATTTTGTATACTTTTACTCTATTTCTCCTAGTCAAAATAAGCAGAAGCTAAAAATATGTAAACTCCGTGGTTCTGTTTGCTACTGCTTGCAAGTATAATTGATAGATGTGCTGGGAATCCTGCTATGACAATGTGCTATCTTTTCATGAATAAGAAAGGGAATATAAGTACTTACCAGCTGGAAAAAGAAATGCAGCTAGTTACAAAATGACCACTCTGGGACTGTGCTTGTTTAGTTCTGCCAAATTTTAAGGCCCAGCCCCAAAAAGGCATGCTGCGGGAAAAGTTTCTAATGTTGTAGAGAGAGTTAATAGAAACTAGAAAGGTGCTAAAGAAGTGCCTCTGGAGTGTGTTATGAGTCGTAACTGTCACCTAAAGATAATAGTATGCAAAGAGAAACTGCTATGATCTTAAGTGTGTCTTTTTAGTTCTCTGGTATGGAGATCTGTCTGTCAAGGCACTTGTGTGGTGATGGAGCTGTGTAAGTACCTAGATAGATACTCCCACTTGAAACTAAAGAGTGATACTTAAATTCATAGTAACTTCTCTTTAAGCTGTACTAAATAATTGTGATGCTATTTAAAGTATAATCTTTGATAACAAAGTCAGTCTTTCTACATGTGGTTGAAGTATTTGTATGGCCTTCCTGGCAAGGACTTTTATGTATATTTAGGGGTGTTCACAGATTCTTAGACCCAGCTTCTTAAGTAGCTTCTTATTTGGAGTGTCTCAGTTGCAGATGGTAAAAAGAACCTTACTTTCTGAAGTAGTGAGCACCTGCAGTTTCTATTGACTTCAGCTGGAGGGTGCTCAGCACCTCTAGAAATCAGGCACCCAGAATTAGAGACCGGGACTTTTGAAAATGTAGACGTTAACTAATGCAGTTACACAAGCTTTGTTTTATTCTGTTTATTAAAGCAAGGGCCAAGTTCTGCTTTTCAGTATGTGTGTATTATTCCCCTGGAGCTCACGTGCAACAGAGTGTAGTATTGGGTCATTCATCTCCATTTTTTTTAAGAGTGATTCTTAAGAATTCTTGTGGTGAAAATCTTGAACCCTACCCACTTCAGACTGACCTTAGCTTAGCTATGTAAAAAAGAAATGAGAAGCCAGATGTAAGAAACCAGTGTTTTATATTGTTCTGGAGAAGGAGAATAGTGTTTCCCCAACGTTCTCTTTTTGTGTTTCAGATCAAAATGTGTCTTCTGATAGCCTGCCTTGCCTTCATCAGTTCCAGCGAGCACTTGAATCCTGCCCTCACTAATATCTGTGAACTCCAGAAGAATCTACATAAGAGCAGTTAAGTTAGCTTGTTTTTAATACAACTCTTTGGTAATGCTTTTAATGTTTGGCCATTTAAAAATATTTTGGTGCCAATCCTGCAAAAACTTGCACAGTTATCAGCAAGTACTTTTAATAAACTTAAGTTTGAAGCCTTCATCCTGCAAACACATATATGCAGGCAGATCTTGATGCTGCTGTATAGTCCCACTGACTTCATTGGGACTCTATACTGGTTCAAGGGTCTGCTCACCTGGATCCATTTACAGAATTGGGGCCTTATTATCTTTAGTTAAAATCCAATGTGAACGTATTGTTTTCCTTTTTTTTGAGTTTTGTTTGTCCATCAACCAAGTGGTTTAAAACTTGGTACAGTGAATGGCTTTAAAGGGGAAGTAGATCAGTTGTTGGGATGTCTGTAGCAGTAAAAAAATGCAGATTTGTATGTGTTTAGTCAAAACAAGCTATGGTTGAACATCCATGGAATACAAGTTTTGAAAATAAGGTTGAATACATTTTCTCCAGTGGACAAACATCAAGACATACTGGCAATGCATCTTTACTCGGTTCTTTAAAAAAAAAAAAAAAAAAATAACTTATTCATAGCTGGCAAAACCCAGGATGTTGTAGGAAAGGGTGCTGGCAATGCAGTAGATGGCACTGTTCCCTCATGTCTGAATCAGTGTCCCAGCATGATGCTACCGGTAGAAGGCACTGTGTGTTGCTGGAGCTTTTACACGAGTGACTTTAAATTGAGATCTCGATCATTCAGGATGGCATGGTATTTTTGCATGGCTGGTCAAATTGACTCAGTAACTTCCCCTTGCCTGCCTAAAATTCCTCTGAAGTTTCAAATGGTCACAGTATTTTTCCCTTTCTGCCCCATTTCAGAAGTATTGCTATGCACCCAGTCCTGCATGACTCCATCCAAATGGCTTCATTTCAGAGGTTGGCATTTTGTGCTTTGGGATGTTTGGATGAAGAGTTTTGTGTGGATGTTAGTTATCGTCCTTGCTGTTTAAGGAATATTGTGCTAAATGCACATTCCCAGATTGTTTCTTTCAAATGATGTTTATTAAAAGTAGTTTCATTTTAACTATGGTGCTCAGTAAATGATCCATATTCAGCTGTATCATTCTGCTAATCTATTAAATTTAATAGCAAAAATGATTTAATCTCATTACTTTTTTCCTAGATACCCTAGAAGAAATGCCTTTATAAAGCTACAAATCCATTTCTTTGATTGGACAGAAGTAATTTCTGAAGTGACCCATAATGTCCACAAGTAATAAGTGAAGGCATGAGGCATTCTCCAAAACATAAAATTTCATAAAATTTTTCCCAAAATGGGAGATCTGTCTCTTCTCCAGCAGCTGCATGGGGATGTGCTGGTAGGCACTCCTTTAACAAAGAACAGCCAGGATTATGCTGCTTTCCTCAACCCGCATGTTTCACCACAAGATTCATCCACAAGAGTTAATGAGTCACATAATCAAATATGCCCAGAATCTCCTAACTGGGGCACTTGGAGCCATCAGGACTCTGCTGTTTCAGATGCTCTTGCCCTTGTGACAGATGATAAATCTGATAGCTTTGCAAACACGAGCTCTTCAATGTTCTGTTCACGGGAAATGATACTGCTACAGTTAACATTGATCAAGATGATGATTGCCAAAGTACAGTCCCAGGAAACTGAATTCAGCATAAGACAGAAGTACCTTGATATAATAACAATTCTTCTGAAAGAGACACAAATTGATTCAAAATTAGTAAGCTTTTTTAAATTATTTTCAAAACTTTTCAAAACAAAGTAAAAAGTGAGTGTAACTTACAGTTTTTTTTTAACATGTCTGCAGATTTGTCTATGCAATAGTTCTGATAAACTATTGTCTCACATGGCTTCAAAAAGTATAGCCTCCCTTATATATTTCCAACTAAAGAAAGAGGTGAGTGTGTCAGGTTCCTGGGTGGACTTTGAATTTGTATGTAAGCTATCAAAGCAAACATGAGTGGATACATTCCTTCCAGTTTTCCTTAGTTGTTCCATCTAACTATAGCTGACCTTCTACAATAGTTAAATGACACAGAGCAGTCACTGAACATTTTATAGTGTAACAATTAAATTTTCTCTCTAGTGCAAAGCCTGCCTAAACAGGCGCAGTGCCTGTTGGTGGGAGGAGGTGCTGGAATCCTTCCATGCCCATCAGACTATAGAGTAATAACAGAGCTGCTCCCTTCCTGCATCTGCAGCCTCAAATCTGTAACACCTCTGTCTACCATGTTCCATCCTTCCAAAAGGAATTTTAGACAATGGATCTGTGTACTTGCTAGCATGACTGCTTTGCAGCATGCCATGGGCACATCCCTCAGTGGCCTCCTGCTTCAAAATCTTGCTCTTTCTCAACTCTGGGCACACTGTCTTTTTTCAGAGCCATTTTCCGAAACAGAGTGTAAAAGTAGTACGAGGTAGCGTTGTGGGAGAGGGCCACACTGAGGAGGTATTGGGTGAGGAGTGATTTGGTGGAGGAAAGGGAAGATGCTTGTTAAATGTTTCCAGAGACTATTTCAAATGTGGTAGGAGGGGCATGAAAGGGTATGTTTACACTGCAACTGGGAGAGAGCTAGCGGGACTTGAGCTAGTGTGCTAAAAATAGCAATTGTGGATGTTCCACCTCTGGTGGGAGCTTGGGCTCTCAAGCCCACCCAGGCCCCTAGGGTTGAGAACCTGAGCTTCTACACGAACCGGAACATCCATAGTTCCAATTTTTAGAGCACTAGATCGAGTCCTGATAGCACAAGTCTGTCTACTCAGGTTGGAAGACTGGCTCCCATTTCCAGTATAGACATACCCAAAGAGAGCATGGAGTGGACAAAGGGAGCAGTTAGTGGCTCTGACAGGGATCAGGAGAATGTGTAGGAAGAAGTGAGGTCAGAAACATAGGCAGGAGCAACGTTCTGAAAGTGAGCATGAATATTTCTTTTAATGTAAATACATCAAGCTTGTGGTTTTTGTTTTAAAATGCTTTTAATAGTTTTATTTTTGTGTCACAAAGATATTCTCTTTAGGCGATTTGCATTGTAGAATATTAATTGTGCAGCTTGCTGAACTTCATAAATCTTACTATATTTACATTTATTTGAAATCTAAATCCTTCAGCAAATAAAAATAGGCACCAACCTGTTCATAACTAATGAATAGAATACTTTTCCATTTTTTGTTTTCTGAATGTCCCCAGTTACCAAAACTTACTGTTTACTTATTGCGACTAGGTGAGTGAGGTAATATCTTTTATTGGACCAACTTCTGTTGGTGAGAGAGACAAACAGAAATTGGTCCAATAAAAGATATTCCCTCACCCATCTTGTCTCTCTAATATCCTGGGACTGACAAAGGTACAACTACCCTGTTTACTTAGTGGGCACATACTATAGGCCCTATAGCAATTTCTTTGGATGGTATTGTCTTTCAGAACATATTTGTTTTTAATACTTCCTGCACAGGGGTCTTAAAATGATGAAGCCCATTAATTCAGTTTCTGTCTAATGTGTTACTGCTTAATTCACTAGTAAGAAAATAACTTGCACATGTACAAAATAGTTTGAATGGTTGTGTTTTCTTGCAAACCGTTCCCCACACTTAGGGTGACTAGATGTCCCGATTTTTGGGTCTTTTTCTCACATAGGCACCTATTACCCCCCACCTCCTGTCCCGATTTTTGACACTTGCTATCTGACACGTGCTTGCTACCCACACTTGTGCTATTACCAGCCTCTAGAAACAAGAAATGTGGGAGCTATGAGTTCAATTCTTGCATCTGCCACAGTCCTTTTGTGGGACTTCAGATCAATCGCATAACTTCACCAGGCTTTGGTTTTCCTGTATGTAAAATGAGGAGGATTTTTGCTTACCAAATTGCTGTTGTGCAGTTTAATGTTTGTAAAGGAATGATAGGTGCTTTAGTAAAACTGCTTGGCACTTCTATATTCTGTCTGTCTCTTTGTCCATTCCCACACTTACTCCTTTTATATGTATCCGTGTGTTAACTTACTATGCACAACAGTTATAACTTTAAAAAAAAAGTAATATCACATCACATTTTGTGCATACAGAATAATTTTTTAATTTATTTTTCTAGAATACATTTAATGTCACCTGGCTCACTTTTTGTTTGAAGACTCTGTCAGAATTCCCTAAGAGTGATCAAGTAGCAGAATGTCTATGGATTCTTAGAGCTATTATTAGAGACATTTTGAAAGATAAAGATTTGCACAAAGCAGGTATTGTAAGATTTTTTTTGATATTAATATACAAGTGTCCACTAGGGGGAGGAAGGCTACTTAATATCCTTCAGAGAAATCAGCCTGTTTAAAATACTAATGGCAATGGGTTATTTACCTTGTCATAATACAAAAAATATATTAAAAATGAAAATACAGTGCCCCCAATACACATTGAATTTGAGAGATTATGATGATCTCCTCCTTGCTGATGCTATTTCAGTGGTGAAAAGTTGTTTTAAATTATCTGGTTAATTGAATTGTACTTTAGGAACTCCACTTCAACTCTGCTTAACATTATTTTATTTATTATAGATCTCCTGAAAAAGGTTTTCACTCCTCTTGATACTGTACTTGAAGGATTTTACAATTCCATTTTGTCTCATCGTTTTAACAGCTTCCAGGATACTTCACTATATTCTAAAGCTGCAAACAACTTGATCGGATTCATAGATTTTCTTGAAGTTCTTGTGGCCTCAAGAATCCAAATAGAGTCACATTTCAAATGCCAAAGAATTTTATTTTTGAATACTTCTTGCATCTTGGACCTCACTTATTCATCAGTTCATTATTTAATCAAGAAGAAGTCCATTATGCTCCTCAAAAAATGCATCCTTTATAAAGCTGGTGAAGATTTCATAAGTGGATCATTACCCCCTTTATCCCTACAGGATCCTTATTTGGATAAGGATATGTTAGCGCTGGCTAATGTTGTTTTGCAAGCTGTGAATTTGGGGTGGCTGAATCAAATACCTGTTTCTGAAAAAGCCAGTTATTTTGGAGGCAGTGAAGCTCAACCTGAGGATGGCAGCCGCAGTGGTCCTGACCAAGTAATCCTCAGAGCCTTAAGTTTGGTTTTACTTAAAGCTTTAGAGATCAAGGTGCAGAACTCTACTAAAGCAGCTGAAATAAAAGGTAATGTTCTGTTTAAATTCATTAAGTAGCATGCATTCTAAAGCTTATAGTTGATTTAGGCAATTTAAAATTGTTGGCTGAGCTTGCAAAGTCTTATACACAACCGCATTTCTCTTTATGTGTGTAACACAATTATTTCTGAATGCCACATCCAACCAATTCAATTTTCAGGGAATTTCTAGGAATTAGTGGCCAGAACCCTGTTGATTTTGGGGACAATCAGAACATTGATAGAGGGAACATAGGAACACATGGAGCTACTGTCATCTATTAATACTTTGCAGTATAACAGTACCCCTACTCATCCTCCCAGTAGAGTGTAATATGTTGACACCCTGAATAGCAGAAGAGAAATAATTGCTCTTCCTGCTGGGTCCCTGGGGTGAATTGTCAGCCATGGGGGCAGGCAGAGGGAGAGAAAAGAATCCCTTTCTTTCTTCTTAATATCCGGCCTCCTCAATGCCTGCGTCAGGTGGGGGAGAGAGGAACCAGCTATCTGCCCCTTCCCTTACAGTTGGGGTGGGGAAGAAAGGTACTTTGGGAGGGAGAAAGGAGAGAGACTTAGCTGCTGGCATGATGCAGAGATTGGGGCCCCATGTATGGTGGGAGCGGGGCATGAGTGGGGAACAGAAACCCTGGCCTGGTGGGGCGAATGGGGGACTCGGAGAAGGGAGCGCACACAGCCTTTGCCATTGGGGTGGGGGAGTAGAAAGGAGCGACACACAGAGCCTCTGCTATTTGTGGTTGGGAAGTGGGAATGGGAGTGCCCATAGAGCCACTGGCATAGTGAAGAAAATGAGGGACCCTGGTATGAGAGGAGAAGGGAATGGGGTGCACACAGAACTACTGTGGAAGGAATATTCAAGTGGGAGTTGCAAGGAGTTCCTGAAATAGAGGGGCATGGGATGGTGGCACCCAGGAAGATTGTGAGGGGAATGAAGGGATCCAGTGAGCCCCAGAGATATACAATGAGCTCGGCCTCTAGATGGTACGAAGGGTGCAACCAGCTAGATTAAAACACTATTAAAATATTAAGAGTAATGACTTCACTTAAGTTTAATGATTTAGTTGGGATTAGGTCCTGCTTTGAGCAGGGGGTTGGACTAAATGACCTCCCGAGGTCCCTTCCAACCCTGATAATTCTATGATTCTATAGAACTGAAATGTTAGGAACACAATTTAGGCACAGGTGGTTGGGTGATAATATGGGTTTGGGGTTTTGTTTGTTTGCTATATTATAGACTTAAAATTGCGTAATTTGAACTAAACTAACCCTTGGTGGTAGTTACCAGATATTCTAGTTCTGAGGGGGTGGGGGGGAATAGAATGATCCCTGATTTCAGTCTGAAAAGTACCTGAGCATGTATGATGATTGAAGGTTCATAGTCTTTTGCTGAGAAGCAAGGCAAGCCTTTAAAAATCTAATTTTAGGGTGAGCTACATTGTACTTTTTTACAACAAAGATGATTCCCATGTTGTAACAAATCTTGCTACAGCATTAGCTTCCATTCAGATTATATCATTCAATCCATAGAGCTTTTCCAATACAATCTAAGAAATACTTTCTGATAATCTAAGATGCCATTGTTTTTTTTTAAAATGCTGAGAGCACTTGTTTGGAAAATTGGGCCCAAATTTGGATTTGAGGAATCTTTTTACTATGCACTGGAATATTGCAGAGGTAAATCTCTCATATGAGGAAGGGTGTTTATATGGTACACACAAGGTTGTTTTTCAAGAGCTGGCCACAGCAATAAAATGGCATGGTAGTCTTGGGAGAATCTTTCCTCTTGTATCCTCAGGCCGTATGTGGCAATGCAGGTGCTGCTGACATGCAGTGTACAGGTAGTATTTAAAATTAGGGGGTGTTGCAATCAGAATGAAGAATTGCAGGAAAATTTTATATTCTTACTACTAATAAAAAGAACGAGGAGTACTTGTGGCACCTTAGAGACTAACAAATTTATTTGAGCATAAGCTTTCGTTTCTAGGTCACCACAGAACTGTACCATGTTCGTGGGGGTGGAGGGGCAGAAGGAGAGACCCCGAGATAGGACAGATCCTTCTGCTGGGCTAAGAGTATAGATGGGCCTCTCCTTCTGCCCCTCCATCCCCACAAACATGGTACAGTTCTGTGGTGACCTAGAAAATGGACATCTTCCTGAATAATGTAATTTTCTGGCAAGGTTTGGTTTGTATCTCTCAGCATTTATGTTCAGTCACAGCAGTCTCCCAAGATACATATGAGAACCTATCTAATCTTTGAAGGTTTTTTTTTTGTCAGAGTAGATTTTGCTATGTTTGTATTACCAGTTTCATACATTTATATTTCCTGCAAAAGTTTAGGCCCTGATTCTTCAATTCGTTGACGCTAAAAAAAACTGGACCATAGGGATCTTAGTCTTAACACTGCACCAGATTATTCCTTTGCATGGGAGGGACCAAGTGGGATAAATTACAGCAAGGTGGCCTTATCAGAGGTGGCATGAGGTGGATTATATCTCACCCCTCTCCCTACATTTGCATTTTCTGGAGGCCAGGGCCAATGGAGACATGCAGTCAGAGAGCCAAATGAGAGTCAGAGACCCCAGGGCAAGTGTGGGAATATAGGGTTTCTATGTAGACGGCCTTGGATTTTTTTACAGCTCTCCTGACACCAGCAGATTATGGAGATGTAATCTCCTTGTTTATTCTGCAGTAAGCCTGGGAGAGAGAGAGGGCTGACCCCTTCCCACCCCACAACCATAAAGGTTCCCCCCGCCTCCCATCTCTTATATGTGGTCTTTCTGTGGGAGGAAGTAACAAGAGCCTAAGAATCCCATTCTTCAAATAATATATTTGCATATGTCCTTAAATTGCGTCAATGCTAACTCTTCTGGATGTTGTCCTCCACTTGAGCAGTGAAATCTGTGTTTTGCATTAGACATATAAAAGTAAATATTGTAAGAGTTTTTACATATACGTTTGTGCAAAAAGTAACTATGTTGGATTTGAGGTGAAATGATTTTGCTGATGGCTCTTTGCTTTGATGGCTTTGATTTTTGACTCCATAAATGGTATCATTCTGCAAGGCATTTGTCAATGCAGTGCTAGTTCAGTTGAGCTAAGGGATGTGTGCTTGGACAACTGGGTTCCATACTGTCCACTGTTTTTTTAAGGAAATGTGGGTTTGGCTTTTCAATATGAAAAAATGAAAGCAAAATTTCACAGTTATGCTCTCTATTTTTAGCAGACTTGCAGAGTTTCATGTCCCGGTTATTGATATTCTTGAAGAAACATCTGAAGTCTTCTCCACATTTTCATTCAAATGTACATCCTTGTGAGTGGCTTTCCATGGTCTTTATAGAACAAGATGATGACATGCTGGAAGCTGCTAAATCTTTGTTAACGGTTTATTTAAAGTTTGATAGGTTGGTATATATTTTAATTTCTTTGTTAGATCTTTGAAGACAAATTAAGCTTTTATTTAGTGAGATCATACAGTTCACAATAGCAGTATTTTTATATGACCATTACATAAAGTAATAACACAAGAAAATACATTGTTAACAATCTTTAATGGATTTATTGAACTACTTTGTAGGAACTGATATGGTTCCCATTGACATCAACAGTACACCTCTACCCCCATATAACGCGGCCCGATATAACATGAATTCAGATATAACACGGTAAAGCAGCACTCCGGGGGCGGGGCAGGGCTGCACACTCCGGCGGATCAAAGCAAGTTCGATATAACGCAGTTTCACCTATAATGCGGTATGATTTTTTGGCTCCTGAGGACAGTGTTATATCGGGGTAGAGGTGTAGTTGGAAATCACTGGGAGTCTTACATTGATGTTAATATGTTTCAGATCAGACTGTAAGTGGTGTTTATAGTAGTCTTTCTATTACAAGTTCAATCCTACCCTCTAATTCACAGTAGCTGACTTCACAGAATTGGAGTGATGGTCAGATGCTGACTGAAAGGCAAGACTTGAGTGTTTTTTGTGAACACTCAACTTTTTGGAGAAGGGATTTCATGTTATGATTAAACTTTAAGAATGAATGGAAGTTGAATCTGAGGATTGCTGAAGTGAACTGTAATCACACCTTACAGTAATGGTTTCTTAGGCAGGATCCCCATAACTTGCTGAGAAGTGGCAATACTGATATCTAAAATGTGTTGAGTTCTTGTGCATTATAAATTTATCATGCAAACCCTTTTGTTTCATTTTCATTCAATTTCCTGTACAGGGGAGGGGACAGGAGACGAAGCCCAACTTTATGAAAAGAAACTTGGCTGGGTGAATCACTTTGTAATTTCAGATTTGTTTGATTGCATTATTGCTAGTAGTGTCTGTTGTTAAATGTTAAGGTACCCAGGTTTGAAAATGCTGGCCTTAAAGTTAGACACCTAAATCTATACTTAGGAACCTAAATAACTTTTTCCAAGGTGCATAGCATCTTGTGAATGAAGTAACCTTTATTAATTGTTTGTATTTTTAAAAAAATGTGAAAAGGATATCTACTCACATATTCGAGGCACCTTTGACGTAACATATAAATACATATTAAATGGAGTAGTACGGTTTACGATAACTGACCACCAATATTTCAGGTATCTTAATGTCCTGGAGGTCATCAAATTAAGGATATTTCAGACCAAGAAGGGGAGCAAATTCCAAAGCTGTGGAGCCCTCACAGAGAACACCATGCTAGCAGTCCCCTCTTGTTTTTATACCAACAGGGGCTCCAGCTCAAACACCGCTGCTAAACCCAGGGTTGTGAGTTCAATCCTTGAGGGGGCCACTTAGGGATCTGGGGCAAAATTGGTCCTGCTAGTGAAGGCAGGGGGCTGGACTCAATGACCTTTTGGGGTCCCTTCCAGCTCTATGAGATAGGTATATCTCCATATATTGTTATATTATAGTTTTGCTGAGTTCAATATATAGATTGGAAAACCTTGCCTTTAATATTAAACTATAATAGGATCTGGTGTGTATCCTGCTGATCTCTCATACATTGCTTCTACCTCTGTAGTTAAAATTACTAAAAATGTTAAGCAAGAATGTTTATGGAAAATTATTCAGTATTTAAATAACTGTTCTATTGCATTCCGTTTAATCTGTGTTTGGGTAACTTTTCAGGTTATGGCATGATGCTGCTGATAACTTGTGCCTTGCAGCAGAAGACGACGAAACCTGGATCTGCCTGACACATGAGAGTGGCTGTAATCCTCACTGTATCTTTTTATTTTTCCTAAAAAGTATTGCGTTTGATTCCACAGTTCTTCTTGACTTTTTGATTTCATCAGAAACCTGCTTCCTTGAGTATTTTGTAAGATATTTAAAACTTCTTAGAGAAGACTGGCATCATTTTGTCAACATCTCTAACTGCTTTGATATTGCGTCTAAAAGAGGTGTGTGTGTTTCTTTTGTCACCTCATCCCACCAAGAAAAAAAAACCTGTCTGACAGATTTAAGTTTGGAGAATGCTTGTTGTGATCCAGTACAACACACTCTGGTATCTTTGGCTTCTTCCCAGAAGCCTTCTGTACCCATGGAACAGCAAGGTGATGACCAAGTTGTAAAACCCAACAAGTCTAACTCATTGATATGGACTGATAACACATCTGCATTGGATTGCCTTCAAAGCCTTGTTAATTATGACAGTTCAGAAGATTCTGAATTTGAATCAGTGGGAAAGGAGTGTTTGGCAAACATGAAGCAGATGCCTTCAAACAATCAAGGCAGTACAAAGATAAGGGAAACTGTTTGTATGGACGTACATGACAAACCCCATACACTTGAACCTAAAGTGTTGCCCCTGAAACAAAAAAGTTCTAATCCCTTGTCACTCGGGGTATGTAATGTGTCTCCAAATAACCCTGTGCCTGTAGAAAGAATGCTTCTCAAATCAATGAAATGTCTGGAAGAACTGCAAAAAGCAATTTCTAGGTTACAGAGAAGAAATCTTTTCCCATACAACCCAGCTGCATTGTTGAAACTGTTGAGTCACATTGAGACAACCAATAAAAGCATGAATCTACTATAAGACAATGAAGTGCTATTGTTGACATTTTGAAGTGATTTCACACTAGTATGTGATGGAATGTTTCCACAAGAAGAGTGTACATGCTCAGAGATACATTCCTTTTGGACCTATCAGCGTGTTTAGACCAAGCAGGCTCAACGGGCTGCCAACTGACACTTTGAAAAGACAAATCTGCAGCGGTGTTTAAGTACTCAACCTGTTGTTTCATGGTCCCAAACTTATTTATGGTACGTATGACAGAGTGAGGGTGAGTTACTGGGGATTAGCAAATTTAACAATAAATTGATTATTCACAGAAAGACATAATAAAGTACTTCCATTTGAAGTGTAAGGTGTAATTCTTCCTAATGTCATTCTAATATCGTAAGAGCCAACTAGATTGCAATGATAATTCCAGGCTCAAGTACTTAGCACAGCTATGTAAGCTCTTTGGGGCAAGGTTCGTCTGTTCTGTGTTTGTAATGCCACAGGGCCTCGGAGCCTTAGTCACAGACCAGGACCCCGTTGTGCTAGGTGATGTACAAACCAAAAATTATATCCCATTCCTCCACTTCTGTGATTTTAATGCTAAGTTATATTTATTGTTTCGCTTTTTGGCCTTTTCTGTAGGTCTGATCAGCTAGTAGCATAGCACTTTTATCGGTCCAAATTGGAATTGATGATGTCACTAAAAACTGAGTTTAAAATTAATGCCTAAAACATAATCAGGTGTGTTCCTTTTTAAAAAAAAAAAAAAGTTGAACTAGTATGTAAATTCCCTATTTAAATGAAAATTTGTTAATGCAGCATTAAATTTAAAATCAAAATTGTGCAATGCACAAGTAAAATTTCAATGGCAATGCTTACGGAGGTGCATTAATATATAGGGTGTTATGATATAAAATGCATAGCACCGTAGCATATTAAAATACACCAATTATTAAAAAATGGATAACTGGCTTGAATTGCAAATATACAATGTAAACATTACTATTAGAACATATCTTCTCCATTTACTCACTACCTGTGATTAACTGACTAATCTCACTGTTGCTAATGGCTGTGTTAATGCATTTAAATTGCTTAATGTTATGCATAATGTTATAATTTTATATATATTTTAAATACTGCCAGTTGGGCAATATCTTTCACATATTAATGAAGTAAGAAGGGTGGGTGGATAAATTTCCTGTTTGGCAGGTGCCAATTTTCTATCAGTTTACTCTAGCTACAATGACTAGCTTCACAACTTAAAAAGATTTTTTTTTTTTTTTTAAATGGAAGCTTAGAATTTTCAGGATATTGTAGAATGCAGCAAAATTGGAGAGGCCCTACATTTTGGGATTATTTTTTTTTAAAAGATTGTGTTACTTGTATATAAAAGTAATACATTGCTAAATTGTGTAGAAATGAGAATTTTTTTACCTCTGCTGCAATAAAAATGGCTGCAGACGGTTTGTTCAAACTTTCCAGACCAGATTTCACCTTTTGAGGCTGAAATTTTCCATGCTTGGCCTTTGCCCGACATTGAATCTTGCACATAGTTAGGAATGGGTGAAAATGGGAGTGATGGGGGCCCCGCCAGGGGCTTTCCCTGCACAAGCGGCGCCCCTAGTTTGGGAACCACTGCTCTATAAGCAATAGCGTAAGTGCCATAGTATCCTGGGGAGGATCTGGATGTAAGAATTAATAAAATGTGCTGTAAGGAGGCAAGTAATTACTATTAAAAGCTGTTACAGTGCATGCATCTCTTTAAGAATAGGTATTAATTACTGGAAATCTGTCTAAATCCAGGACACTTGTGGTTCTTTGTGGACTCTATTTCCGCCAATATTTCTACTTTTCCACATTTTAATTTTTTGGTCTCCCATTATGGGTTGGAGACTTAATAAATCAAACTTCTTGAATTCATCTACAGTAGAACAATTTTCTTGGCAAATTTGTGAATAAAAAGCCTGACATGGTGTTGTCTTTTATTTGTGACTCCAGTAATGTTAGGGGAGTGCAAATGATATTTATATTTCTTCCAAAGTAGAACAACAACTTATTCCATCCTGACTTCAGCTAGGATCTGGTATTGAGGATTTAGCAGAGCTAGCCAGCATCACACCAAGAACTTCGAATGTACCATTAACTGCAATGCTATTGCTGCTGCTTTTCTATATGTTTACCAGACCACCCCAGTGTGTGCTGAAGTCTCCCTGAAAACAGAGTATATGCTTGTCTTGTAATAGGATAACCGTCAATCTCCTGTGCTCACCTGGTTATTGATAAGCCAGGAACAATCTACACTTGGTTATGGATGTTCAAATTCATTTGAGCTAAAGTATAGTCCCTGTAATACATAACTCTGGTAGGTGAGCTATATTCCCAAGGCACTTACTCTCTCTCCTGGTGCAGTGTCTTTTAAATGTGGAAATGAGGATAGTTGTGATTGCTCTGAGGACCTTCAAAGATCTGGTGGTATCCTAAAAAGAAGTCCTAATTCAAATGGATAATCCAGACTCCCAAGTTCTACATAAAGCAAGGAAGGAAGGAACAGAATTGCACCTTGTATGTGGCAGAAAGCCTTTGTGTAGAATGAGTGTCCTGCAAGGCAGCACTGGTTAGTACGTTCCTGAAAGGTAAAGAAAACAAAAGCTATGCCAGTCAATGGTACACCTACACGAGTAGTCCCTCAATGAGGGTTTAGTTGAAGCAGAGCTTACAACTGGGGGATGTGGAATATCTGAATAACTGATTGTTTTTGCACTGTTGAATAATGCCTTCACACTGCTAAGAAGGGAAGCTGATGTATTTTTTCCTGAGACTGATTTGTAGACCTTTACTCCCCATGGAGAAAAGATAAACGTTCCTCGGTCCTAATTGTCTCATTTTGTCTGAGACAAAATTTGTCTTGATCATGTTAGGAACTGTAGTAGCTGATCCAAACAGGCTAGGAGTCTGACCACGTATGATTATATGAAGCAACTACTGCCCTGCATCTTAACCTGGGACCTCTCTCTGTCTATATAACTCCAAGGAAGGTAGAGAATGAGAGGCTTGACATTTCCAAGTGGCTCTCATCCTTCTAGCTTCTCCAAAGGATGTATACAAAGCAACAGGCAGCTTAGTGAAAGCCAACATGGGAAGACAACTTTGAATTCAAACATAGGACGTATGCAGATCTTAAGTGGGAAAGGGTTGCAGCCTAGTGCCAAAAACCCCCACGGCTATTCCTATGTTCCCAGCACAAATACTGCTTGACTTCCTTCACCTGTCAACCTCTCTTAGACATCTTCCCTTGGAGTTCATATGGCAGCTGTTTTGGACTTTCATGGTTTATGATGAAGGTATTACTCCATCTTTCTGTTATCCAGGTCATTCAGGTCTGGATGCAATTAACCTCTTCCCCACAAACAGGGAATTCCTTATAGCAGAGGATACTAGTCCTAATAAAGGTGACGAAAGTTTCTTTGGAGCCTTTGGTACATGAGATAAGTTTATTACGTGGAATGTCTTTTTCCCCGATATCAGGGACTTCCATTCCCAGAATAAGCAGTCTTCATGTTGTACTGATTGACCTCCATTATATACCAAATTCCTCAGGGAGATGGCAGTACTATGAAACAACCTAAATTCCTTCAAGAGGGGGTAATAATGTTTTGCTTTAATCAGTTATTCGTCCTCTGAATGTTTACATCATGCATGCACGTGTATCCCCAGAACGCCCTCCAATGTGATGTGAAAAGGGCCTTTTGCACACCAGCTGAAATGAAAATTAAAACCCACCCTCATCTTTGATCTATTTGATACTCATTCAGTTTTGCTGTCTTGAAGAAAACTGTTTCTAAATGATTATCTGATTGTGACCCTAATTATTATTATTAGCCTAGTGTACTTTGCAGCAAGAATAATGTTAAAGACCATTCTGTGTAAGCGCAGAGTTGGCTATGGCAGTAAGCCATAACAGTTGGACAAAATATTGTATTCAGCCTTTTGCGAAAAGAACATAGAATTTGGTACACAGGAACAAAACAGTGCTCCATCTAGATTAGTAATTCATATTGGCCTCTTCAGTGGAGGGTAAAAATATCCAGCACTGTAGTACAGCTGATTTTTGTTAATACTATATCAAGAGATGAATGGCGTGTGGGAGACTTAATGCTGGCTGTGAAGCATTCAAGTTTGATCCCACTTGTCACAAACATTATTAAAATTACAAGGTGTAAAACTGTTCCAGCATGTAAGTGGTTCGTGCTTAGTACAGTATATGGCTGATCTGAATGGGGTTTATATATATATAAAGGTGAAGGAAACTACTATAGGAAAGGATATGTGCTCTCTCCTGCCAGTTAGCTGAAATTGAAGAGGCTGGAGGTGGTTCAGAGGGCAACTAAAATGATTAGGGGTTTGGAACGGGTCCCATATGAAGAGAGATTAAAGAGGCTAGGACTTTTCAGCTTGGAAAAAAGGAGACTAAAGGGGGGTATGATAGAGGTATATAAAATCATGAGGGATGTGGAGAAAGTAGATAAGGAAAAGTTATTTACTTATTCCCATAATACAAGAACTAGGAGTCACCAAATGAAATTAATAGGCCGCAGGTTTAAAACAAATAAAAGGAAGTTCTTCTTCACACAGCGCACAGTCAACTTGTGGAACTCCTTACCTGAGGAGGTTATGAAGGCTAGGACTATAACAGCGTTTAAAAGAGAACTGGATAAATTCATGGTGGTTGAGTCCATTAATGGCTATTAGCCAGGATGGTAAGGAATGGTGTCCCTAGCCTCTGTCAGAGGGTGGAGATGGATGGCAGGAGAGAGATCAGTTGATCATTACCTGTTGGGTTCACTCTCTCTGGGGCACCTAGCATTGGCCACTGTCAGTAGACAGGATACCGGGCTAGATGGACCTTTGGTCTGACCCAGTACGGCTGTTCTTATGTTCTTACGTTATTACCCAGGAGCTGGAATTAATTTTTCTGGTTTTGAGACTTGTTTTGTGGAAATGAAGCAAGCCTTGAGGAAAGAGATGTGAAATGGCTTGTAGGTGGCACTTCTATTTTTTCCTTTCTAGCTGGTCAGTCTATGCACTGGCTTAAACTATTTAGTGTAACTACATTATTCTTTAGATGAGTAGCTAATTCTTTATGTTAAAAAAAGTACCTCTGCCTGCTTCACTAATAACCTGTGGCAGTGCATAAAGTGGGTCTTTTTAATCTGCACTACATGGAAACAAGTCTTTTTCTTTTATGTACACCTCTACCCTGCTATAACGCGACCCGATATAACATGAATTTGGATATAATGCGGTAAAGCAGTGCTCCGGGGGGGGGGGGGCAGGCGGGGCTGTGCACTCCAGTGGATCAAAGCAAGTTCGATATAACACGGTTTCACCTATAACGCAGTAAGATTTTTTGGCTCCCGAGGACAGCGTTATATCGAGGTAGAGGTGTCTATTGCCTTTGAAGTTTGAGCATTGTTGTTCTTGTATAAGATGAAGTCGATATTTTTTTTTGGCACCCTAATCTTTATTGAGTTTCACTATGCTGTCCACTGCCTAGTCTCTAGTAGTTTTGTGTAATGCCTCATCCATACACATCCTTTTATAAGGTTGTTATAATCAGTGGCCCGCTTCTGTTTCAGCTGTCTTTTGTGAGAGATGAAAATTGAGTTAAGAAAATCAAGCTTTTTCTGTTTCAGAAAGGAACAGAGCCCAGGCATGAGATTTATTTGCTGTACTCTGAAAGAAGCTGCAACTACTTTCCCCAGCATGTGCTCACTAAAGTTGAAATAGTGCCACGTTAGTTGCTGACGCCAAAAAGGGAGTAGGAGTGATCAACTCACAGAAAAGGTCCCAACAGGGCATAATTATTGATGTTCATATAAATTTCTCATAACCTAGCCTTGTGGAATGCTATATTAATGTATCTATTACTGAACCAGTTAAATCAACAAAGGAAGCAGATGTGGTGAGATCTCCATGACCGTTTATTGTCCACACCATTTCCTGTGTGTCTGTTGGTGTCCTGATACAAATGGAATTGGTTCCACAGCAGAGAATTCCTTTTGTAGGGTCAGCCAAGAAAGGCAATAGATTACTCAGCACCAACATCTATATATGCTCACTTAAAGAAAACAGCAGTGTTTGGTAGTAACATATGCCTCCTAAAAGGCCATTGAGAACAACCTACTCTCATAGTTAAAACATCATGATACTGGACTTATTTCTTTTCTGACAGCATGAGAAATAATTGTCCTTATGCACTTAGACAATTTGTCCTTTCCAGTAGGTGCAATTGAATGCCCTCTGATTCTCCTTGAAGAGAACAACACTATGTTGAATCGGTAGGAATGTCCTATTAATTTAATATTCGAGCTGTTTTTTCCCAAGGTTTTATTTTATGTAAGTTTGTAATTAGTACATATGCTTGGGGTTTTTGTATTATCAGGATTTATTTCTTCACACAGTTATTACACCATTATTCATGACTCTAATGATTAATAAGGGAGTTGCTCACTTCCATCTTGCACTCCCTTCCTAAGTTACCAAAAACTATTTCTTTTAAAATCTCCCACCTGCCTGATCTGATTGTACTGTGATGAATGGGAGTACTGGAAAGGAGCATTGGTTTCACTATGCTCAGGTACCAAGTTTTATTATCAATTATCCGTATGAGAAAAATGATTATTTACCGAAATTGTGCACCCTTTAGAGGCATAGTTGCTGTCTGGAAATAAACAGAAGGGACTGATCTACACAATGGACAGAATGCTATCAAGCCGCTGAATAGGAGCGGGAGAAGGCATTAAACTAGATGTGTGGTTTGTTTTATTTATATATCTGTGTGTGTGTGTGTATATATATGCTAAAGAGAAGGTATGGTCTGCTTGCATTGGTTTTCAACTGTGGGCCACCCTCCCCAGCGAGGGTTATCAGGGGAGCTCAAGGACTTGACTGATTAAGAATAAACCCAGCACAT